GCCACATTTACTTCCTGTGAAAATGGGGGAAAATACATTTAGGGCAAGATTGCCACAGCTTCCCAAGAGGGTGGGAGAGGAAAGTGAGTGACAGTTCTCAACGACTGCCCAGTGAGGCGAAAGCTCTCAGGTGCTCAGGTGGTCTTTCTGTGGGGACTGGCGACTCTATCACCATTTAAAGCTATAGCCAATTAGGGGCACCTGGGTGGCTCAGTTGGTTAAGCGTCCGACTCTTGATTTTGGCTCAGGCCATGATCTCATGGTTTGTGAGTTTAAGCCCTACATCAGGTTCTGCACGGACAGTGTTTTCAAGCCCCACATTGGGCTGTGCACATACGGTGTGAAGCCTGCATGGGATTCTCTGTCTCTCCCTCTCTCTCTGCCCCTCCTCTGCTCACACTGTTTGTCTCTCTGAAATAAAAAAATTAAAAAATCTACAGTCAATTCACCATTCCAGAGACTTCTGAACTGTACAAGATGCAGAAAGCAGATTTGTGAGTGAGGTCCCGACATAGAGAATGTTGCCAAAGAGTCTGACTTAGCAGAAACATCCAGAAGGAAGGCATTAGGATAAATGTATATGGCAAGAAACCCTGAAGGAAGCAACTTACTAGAGAGACCAAATGAATCTCCTACCAGTGCATGTTTTTTATTCATTGTTTTTTCTTACCAGACCTCAGTTTCTGTAGTAGTTTGCTAGGGTTACCCTAACAACAGTACCCCAGATGGGCGGCTTAAACAATGGAATGTATTTTCCCATGATTCTGGAGACTAAAAGTCTGAGATGAAGGTGTTGGAAGGCTTGGTTTCTCCTGAGGCCTCTCTCCTTGGCTTACAGATGGCCACCTTCTCCCCATGTCTTCACATCACCGTCCCCAGCCACGGAGCCAGTCTGTACCCAAATTTCCTCTTAGGGGACAGTCATATTGCATTACAGCCCACGCTAATGACTTTGTTTTAACTTAATGACTTCTTTAAAGACCCGGTCTCCAAACTGGGCACACTGTGAAGTGCTGGGGTTTAGGATTTCAACATATGGATTGGCAGGGGCTAGGGGGCATGCACCATTCAGCCCGTAACAGTTACTGATTATAATCGACTAAAAAGGAGTCTGTGAGGGTTTTTGTGTTGTTTTACACAGAAAATTAAAAGTTCCTGTTGTGTGGAGTGGCTTCTGCCTTTCTAAGGTGGTCGACTCCATGAAACTCCAATTCACAAGCATTCCTGTTGACACGGACAGAGGGGCCACATGCCATGGCTGTCAGCCATGAACGGTGAACCGGTTACGGTTACGTGCACCCTTGTGGGCACTTCACACACTCCTCCAGGGCCTCAATTCCCTCATTTCTAAAACAAAGGAATTGAGTCGGTGAGCAGGATGTGGTGATTGGCACTCAGTCCCTTCCTGGGAGCTTTGCTGTGGGGCAGAGATGAGAGACCCCAAAACTACACTTCGCAGATTCCTTTACAGCTAGGGTTCTGGCCATGAATTAGGGGCCTCCAAGAAGATGCCCTGGTAGAAGACGGGGGCAGACGGAAGTCAAAACCACCTTTCTGTTGTTACTGCTGTGGAGGCCTGCCCAGTCACAGGGAAAGGGAGCCAGGTGGCCACAGTTAGCATTCCTGAGTCGGTAACCAGGTTGAGGTGGGGGCACAGAAGCAGGGGGCGCCCTGGGAGTCCTTCCCAAAGATCCACAGGGAAAACAGGAAAAGCAGGCACCAGCATGTTTATTGCTGCACCGTTGTAGTATGGGACTGGTAACAATCCTAACCTCTGTTCGTGGCGAACTGGAAAAATGAACTATGGTGTACCCCTCCAGACACTAGAATGTTCTGCAGCTCTATAACGAAATAAAGAGAATGATTCCATATACCACTATGGAGTAATCTTTAAGATATACAGTTAAGTGAAAAAAAGCAAAGTGGAGAAAAAGGTATAAAGTATATTACTACTTAGAAAGGAAAGAGATATTTTTTAAAGAAATCTCAGAACAAAAAAGTAGTAGCCCCAAAGATGTAAAAAAAATTTTTAATGTTCATTTTTGAGAGAGACCGAGCGTGAGCAAAGAAAGGGTGAGGAGAGGGAGACACAGAATCTGAGGCAGGCTCCTTGTCTGAGCTGTCAGCACAGAGCCCGACACAGGGCTCAAACTCACAAACTGTGAGATCATGACCTGAGCCAAAGTCAGACGCTCAACTGACTGAACCACTCAGGTGCCCCCGTTTTTTTCCCTTCAAAAAAATTTTTTATGTGAATTCTTGAGACAGAAACAGAGCATGAATGGGGGAGGGGCAGGGAGAGAGGGACACACAGAATCTGAAGCTATAAGCCTAACCGACTGAGCCACCCAAGCTCCTCCCCACCTTTCTTTTCCTTAATGTTTATATATTTTTGAGAGAGAGCAAGAGGGGAAGAGGGGCAGAGGACTTGGGAGACAAAAGATCTGAAGCAGACTGACAGTAGCTAGCCTGATGTGGGCTTGAACCCACGAACCATGAGATCATGACCTGAGCCAAAGTCACCAAAATTGGATGCTTAACAGATTGAGCCACCCAGGCGCCTCCCCCAACCCAAAGATTTCTTTTAATGGTAGAAAGAGTGTCGCTAAGAGATCAGGTTCCAAGCTCCCGTAGTGAAATGAGTGAAAAGAGAAACAAAGGGACAAGTGGACAGGCCTGATTTTTCGCCAGCAGCTCAGACTAGAGAATGAGAAGGGAACAGAAAGCCCCGGCGGTGAGGAAGGCAAAGGAGCCTTGACTGAGCGCCTGCCCTTTATAGCACCTGGGCCAGGTGCTTCAAATACATCTTCTCCTTCAGTCTTCTCCAGGTTTGGTTTCAGGTAGGTATTTTTATTGTCTCCATTTTGTAGATAAGGAGAAGAGAACAAAGAGGAGTTAAACAACTTGATCAAATTCATAAAGCAAGGAGTGTCAGAAAACAGGACTTTGTACCCAGGGCTTTGGGACCAGCTATATATAGCCTTACTCTCTTGCTGGGTCCCCAGATGGAGCCCTTTGGTGGTAGCCACAGGGAGAGGACACTTCCTTAGAACTCTGCTGTCTCCTTCCTTTATCCACCCATAGAGTGGGGCGCCAGGATGGGGCTGGGCCGGAAGGGTTGGGCCCTAAGCCTCCTAACCAGGTGTCCCCATCCGGCCCGGGGGACAAAGGAGTGCCTCTAGGCCACTGGCTTGTAATCTGATTGGATATCAAAATCACTGAGGAGCTTTAAAAAATACTGATGCTCAGGTCTTATCCCCAGAGATTCGAATTTGGGTTGCAGCCTAGGCCTGGGGTTTGGGGAAGCTTCTCAGGTAATCCTAACATGTAGCAAAATTTGCAAACCACTGCTCTGAGCTCTTGCTGTTTCCACGTGTAGTTGGGTGCGGAACCTTTGCATTCACCTGAAAGTGAGTGAGAAATGAAAAATCTTGGGCCCCACCCCAGACCCACTAAATCAGAAACTTGTGGGGAGGGAGGAGCGAAGGGAAGCAGCCAACGATCTTCTGTATTTTCACGAGCCTTCCACATGGTTCTAACACACCCTAATGATTGAGAACCACTGTTCTAAGCAACAAACCAGAGACAGATCACCACGCGCTGTGGTTTCCTTTGTCAACTACCACACAACTGCGATGTTTGTTACCATGAGAGACAAATTTGATGGCCCCAGGCAATGAGACTGTCCAGGCCATTCCCCCAAGAACAAAACGTTGAGATGTGAGAATGTGCTTAAATGTCTCTTGGAATCATCTGGAACTCATTGCAGCTTCTCAGAAGGGGAGCAGTGTTATCAAAGCGGTAATGCACCAAAAGTTGCCAAAGGGAGTGTCGACCGCCGAGGGCAAACATGGTCCTCAAGGACAGATGGGCCAGGGGAGCAGCCCAGGGGAAGCGGCAGCCTGGCAAGTCCTCCTCACGAGGCTCCTCTACGTGAACAGGGGGTTACTTTTCCACAGCTGCCCTAACAAATGACCCCAGACCTAATGACCTAAAACAACGAAAATCTGGAGGACACCTGTCCAAAATCAAGACAACAGCAGTGTTGGTTCCTTCTGGAAGGTCTGAAAGGGAATCTGTTCCATGCCTCTCTCCTGGCTTCTGGTGGCCACTAACAACCCTTAGAGTTCCTCAGCATGTAGATACGTTGCTCTGCATCTCTGCAGGTCTTCTTGGTCTCTGTATCTCAAATTTCTCTCTCCTTTCTCATATAAGGAAAATCATTGGATGTAGGGCCAGCCCTAAATGAAGGATGATCTTATCTCAAGATCCTTCACTTAACCACACCTGCAAAGATTCTCCTTCCAAATAAGGTCACATTCACAGGTTGCAGGGTGGGGGTGTGTTGGGAAAGGAGGGGGGCATTAGGACTTGGACCTTATCTCTTTTTTTTAAGTTTATTTATTTTGAGAGAGAGAGAGCATGAATGGGGGAGGGACAGAGAAAGAGGGAGAGAGAATTCTAAGCAGGCTCCACGTTGTCAGCACAGAGCCTGACTTGGGGCTTGAACTCATGAATCGTGAGATCATGACCTGAGCCAAAATCAAGAGTCAAACACTTAACGGACTGGGCCACCCAGGCACCCTTGGACCTTATTTTTTTTTTTAGGGCCACAATTCAACCCACTACAGATGGGAAACAAACTTCACTTTCTTACAGTTGCCCCTCAGATGCTGGTTCTGAGCAGAGGAATTTCCTGCGGTAACTCAAGACAATCACGAAAAGCCTGGAATACATACAGCACTAAGTATTGTCATCACAGAGTTCGACATTATACAGGGTGCTTCCAGGTGTGCTCACAGAGCCTTGCCACAGAGCAGGGATGTTTTTGTGCTATTGCATAGGAGGAAACTGAGGCACAGGGAGGCTGGGTGGCTTGCCCAAGCTCACAGAACGGGCAGGGGTAGTCCTTTCGCTCTGACTTTGCTCTCAGCTCGTGTCGGGAGTCACGATTTCACCCTACTGTCTTCAAGAAAGTGGGGTGCAGGCGGATCTCTTACCTGAGACAGTGGTCTTGTCAAGATACAGCATTGTATCAGCCAGTTGATTACCAGCCGTTCTGGTCACTGCTTTCTCAGTTTCCCATGCCCTCTCTCAATTCCAGTCCTACAAACAGAAAGAGTCCTGTACATGTCAGGCACTTGACCTCTGGGAGAACTCAGTAAATGTGGATAGAATGATTTTGTTGTTTCTGCCCTAGCTCAGCAGGAAGCTGTTGGATATATACAGATTGATATGCACCTATTCCCAGAAGTTAATCCAGACGACTCGGACATACTCTGATGTAGAATGAAAGCAGGAGCAGTGGGTTCTTACACCAGCCTCCTTACTCTCGTCAACTCAAAAATGGACGAAAGCCTGGAACCCTAATGTGGGTGCCTAATCTATCTCAGGAGGGTGCCTACTTTTCTGTGTGGTCTGGTCATTTATACGATGTTGGCTTCACCTTTAGGGTCTTTATTACTGAGCCCCCAGGTCTCAGGTTGCTTGCTCACCTCAGCCACAGCTGCTGTTGCCTTTCTAAGAATTCAGAGACACATGTGGCTTGAATAATCTTGGCCTCCCTGCTTAGGATTCCTGCCTCCCCGGCCTCCCAGCTCTGAACCACCACAAGGACTAGCCCACCATCATTTCAGACTCCAGATATCAAAAGTCAATCCTACTGTCCCCTTCTGAGTCGTTGCCACTTTGAACATTCCCTATCTACCTAACGGCGCCCCCTGGAAAACAGATGTCATTGTTCAGCCCTCTTCTCCCTCATCTTCCTCTGAAGGCAACCTCTTCCCACAAGACGGGTGTGGGCCACAGAGATGGGTAGATGAGGAAGAGAGCAAACATTTCTGAGCACTCACTATGATGAGACGGCCCACATGCTGTATGCTAACTCACTGATCTCAATAACCCAGCGAGGTGGAGACAGTATTCGTGTCCTAATTTTACAGGTGGAGAACAGAAGCCCAGAACATTTTGGGGCCTCGGCCACACAGCTGTGGGGCAGAGAGCAGAATCTAGCCTGTGCCCTCGGCACTCTAGTGGCATATGCTGCCTGATTTATTCTTCCTTTGGTGATTCCGAAATGTGTTGCTTCTCTCCTGCCTTTGCTAGCATTCACCTCTCCTTCCTGAATCGCTCGACCAGCTTCCCAGCTATTCTCTTCTCTGCATGTACTCTTTTCTGATTTGCCTGTGTCCAACTGCTTTATATTTCTTTCATATCTCCCGTAGTGCCTGGCCCAGGACTGGACATGGGGTAGACACTCCGTTTTGTTAACAGAATATGGGTGTGGCAGAGCAGGAAATTTATTCTCTACCATCTAAGTATGGTTTTAGATCAGGCCAGGTGTCACCTGCAGGTGCCTGGAGACGATGTAGTAAATCATACCAGATATAGAATAGGTTAGTAATGTGGTCGACTTGTTACCAGCCTTGGTCACGAAGGATGAGGATGGGATTTACACCGAAGTTCAGAGCTAATCTACAATGCTTACTGTGGCTGATGGCTTTCATCTTCTCTGCTGACAAGTCATAGCCAGCCTTGTTTCTCTACCGCTGTGCAACTTCGGGTGAGGACAAAAAGTCCCAAGGCATCATTACCTACGCACAGAACCCTCCAGACCAGATGGGAGTTGGTAGAAGCCAAAGGCAAAGGAATTGCTGGATTCTCAGGAGACTTGGAAGAAGAAAGTCAAGTCACTTTAGCTTAACCTGACCCAGGGACGCACACTTTAAGATGTACATTTCAGAGGGAAAGGTGGATTTTCCAGATATGAATTCCATGTGATTATCTGATGTAACCAGTAAAGTGTACAAGTTTGAATCACAAATATTCCCTTTACCAACGTAGGTGTAGATCAAAAGAGTTATGGTGTTAGGAGGTCCCGGTGACATATGGGAAATATCCCGTGCAAGTGACGACTTGCTAGTTGCCAGACATGAAAACCGCACCCAATTTTTCTCCTGTGGCGTGAAACTCACCACCAGGGGTCCAGCAGTCTCCCTCACCTCCTCAAAACATCTTGACAAATACACCCATTCCATTTCATACATTCATCATCTGACTTAACTGTTAAACCACACAGCAAAGCTGCATTTCATCTGAGAATCTACTCAGATAATAAGGGTGCCAGACCCAGCGTTTAAAATTCCTTCTCAGGGGGGCTCAGTTGGTTAAGCGTCCGATTTTGGCTCAGGTCCTGATCTCACAGTTTGTGAGTCTGAGCCCCACGTTGGGCTCTGTGCTCAGAGCCCAGAGCCTGCTTTGGATTCTGTGTCTCCTTCTCTGCCCCTCTCCCGCTCACATTCTGTCTTTCTCTCAAAAATAAACATTAAAAAAATTTTTTAAAATGTTTTATTTATTTCTAGGAGAGAGAGAGAGAGAGAGACAGCATGAGCAGGGGAGGGTCAGAGAGAGAGGGAGTCACAGACTGAAACAGACTCCAGGCTCTGAGCTGGCAGTCAGCACAGAGCCCGACGCGGGGCCAGAACCCACAAACCGCGAGACCATGACCTAAGCAAAAGTCGGATGCTTAACCGATTAAGCCACCCAGGCGCCCCCCAAAATTTTTTTAAAATACAATTCCTTCTCACTGAGAGCAAGTTGGTGTAACCGCTTTGTAGGATGATGAGGAAATATTGATTAAATTTAAATACAAATTCAAATACAAATATCCTCTGACCTAACAGTTCCACTTCAAGGAATTTTCTTCCCAAAATAACAAAACCGAGGCAAAACAAAATTACACGTTTGTGTGGAAATATTAATTTCAAATATTATTTGTGAGACCATGAGAAAGACACATTCAAAATGTCTCTTATTGGGGCACCTGCATGGCTCAGTCAGTTAAGCATCCGACTTCGGCTGAGGTCATGATCTCACAGTTTGTGGGTTTGAGCCTCACATCGGGCTCTGTGCTGACAGCTCAGAGCCTGGAGCCTGCTTCAGATTCTGTGTGTCCCTCTCTCTCTCTGCCGCTCCCCCATTCATGCTATGTTTCTCTCTGTCTCAATAATAAATAGACATAAAAAATTTTTTTTAAAAATTAAAAATAAAATGTCTTATTTAAAATTTTTTTTAAATATTCATTTTTGAGAGAGAGAAAGAGAGAGAGGGAGACAGAATACAAGTGGGGAGGAGCAGAGAGAGAGGAAGACACAGAATCTGAAGCAGGCTCTAGGCTCTGAGCTATCTGAACAGAGCCTGACACGGGGCCTGAACCCATGAACCCCGAGATCATGACCTGAGCTGAAGTCAGACACTCACCTGACTGAGCCACTCAGGAGCCCAAAAATGTCTTTTAATACAGATGATGGTTAAATAAATTCTGATACATCCAAACAATGCAGCTCTATGACATCATGAGAAAGAATGAGGTAAATCTTTGGGTGAGAGTATTGAGTATGGAATGTGCTACAGGATACGTTAAGTGAAAGAACACATAGGGACAGCAGAGTGGGCACAGCTCAGGCAGCATGTGTGTGCACGTGCAGCATGTTTCCTTGCATATAAAAAGGGCGTCGGAGCATTTGTTCATTTATTTAAACTGAAGTACCAGCAAGTGCCTCTTCTCCACGTATTTACTTGCTACTGAGTTTGCTGTAGATTTCTGAGGTCTAACGTGTCCTCAGAAGCAATGATATCATCATCTCTGAATCAAAACGAAAAGGAAAAAGGGGACTAAGAAATGAGTTGGGACATCCTGCTCCCTCTAAGCGGATATTGGTGGGCTCTTGGGGGTGGGTTCATGGAAGCATCTTTTACAAAAATCTATAATCTGAGCCTGGTGCTGGCTCCTTACCCCATTTGTGGACTGAAGAGCAGAGCTGGGTCCTGACTTTCATCTAGCAGCACAAAGTAAAAGGTGAATACTGGAGACTGTTAAAGATCCCATCTACGTTTCCAGGGGATTTCCGGACCAACTACGGTAGGGGAAGCTAGATGGCATTAGGGACCATGAGACTCGGCCCCATATACTTGACCTTGGAATAGTAATACAATGAAAAGTATATGTTCATGAGAAACAAATATCTCAATAGTTCCTAGTCTCTTAGATTTGGTACCTTGGTTCCTTCAAGGGGGCAGAGCATAGTGGGTAGGGCTCTGTAGCCAAATTCCAAAATTCAGTCTAGTGATGCAATTTATTAGCTATTTGTTCTTGCATAAGTTGCTCTCTGGTCTTAGCTTTCTTATCTGTAAAATGGTATAACTCTGGCACCTGTTTCCTAAAACTATCATGAAGATTACACAAGTAAATAGAAGTAAAACACATACCAAGTACTCAGTCAATGCTACATCCTTAAAAGCTAATCCGCTTCAGAAAAACAGTCGTATTTCTGCACGTAAGCATTAAAAGCTTCAAACCCCTCACAGGCCTCTCCCCCTCTCCAAGCTCCCTGAGACCATGAATTAAAATAACAGACATGATCTTTGTCTCCTAAGTTTAACAGAGCGGTTTTTCTTAAGCAATGTTGTCTAGTGCAATGCACGTTAGTGTAAAGTATTCGTTTTATCTCAAAATCATTTCGGAATTCCATAGTCATTAACTTCAAACTCAGACTTGCCTTTGTACTTAATTATTAGTTCTTCTCTCAGGAGTGGAGACCGTAGCACTTTCATTCATTCACAACAAGTTCAGGTGCCCATAGTGGTGGTTGTGATGTCTGAAAGTATCCAGTGGAACGCTCAGGGAGGTGTGTTAGCGACTGTCAGCTGCTGCTGCAGTAACTGGACACCATCTCAGTGGAGTTTCTAGGCTAAAAGGATGGCCGTTTCCTTACTGTGTAGGCAAGATCAGGGGTCCCAGAAAAGGAGGTAGCTGTGAGATCCTGAGCAAGCCCTCACCTGTCTGCATCTGTTTCATAATCTCTAAAGCAGAGGGATTGCATTAAATGGTCTGGTAATTCTTTCCAGCCCAAAAGACTCCAGGCAGATATATGAACCCTGTCTCAGCTAGAGTTTTTTTTTTTTTTAACTACACTGAAGCACTCCCCTCTGACCCCAACATTGCCACCACACACCGCGCGCACACATACACACACACACAGTGAAATAACACTAGCTTCCACTTATTGAGTGCTAATGCCAAGTGCTTTATATACATCACTGCACTTAACGCTCACAATAAACCTCTGAGGCAGCTATTGATTTTTCAGATAACCAGAGAGGCCAAGGTGAAAGCCAAAAAGGGAGCGGGGATTCCGGGCCCTCCCAGCAGTGTACCATTCTCTGTATCTAGATCCTTGGTACCCTCAGGCCCTCCAAGTCAGCCACGGGTGTGGGGTGGAGGAGGGGATCCCAGAACTGATCTCGTGGGATTGCCCTGACTTTCAAGGTGTGAAATGGCACCGTCACTGTTGGATTTCTACTTTTCAAATTTGTTTTGTTTCCGCCATGGCGGTGTTTGGAAGCAGCCCGAGGAGTTCTCTGAGAGCCCTCTGGAGTCTCCACGGCAGAAAAGAGATTCTGCACATTTGATTCCAAACCTCTTCCCTTCCTCACAGAAACTCAGAGCTCTCCACAGTTCCACTCAGGAGGGAGATGCCTCCGGGTTCCCCTCCTGAGGGTTTCCAGCTTTGGCAGACCTCTGTCTGGGTGGGGCTGACCCAGAACTCGGAGGGATGAGACCCCACTTTTCGTGTCTGGCTGCAATGCAGATTTGAGGCTTTGATTTTACCACAGCTGCACATTTTCTGAGCCTTTATCCTCCATCCCAGCCTTAAGCATTTCAGTCTACCAACCAGTCCCTGCACCCCCCTTACACACACACATACACACTCACACTCACACTTATATCCTCATTCATTCTCTCTTTGCGGATATTTGATAGCTGAAAATAAAAACATCAAAATTAAGACCGTTGCCTGTGACAAGAAAGCGTATACCAAAGAATTAAAAGCTAACCTCAGTCATTAAGGAATGTCTCTGGAACCATCCTCCTCTTTACAGGGTGGAGAGCTGCAATAAATAGAACTCATCAGAGACTGAGACATACTCGGAATAAGACATGCACACATTTATTATGAGCAGCTGCATTCAGCTGAGTTCCTGGAGGGATGTGGGAGAAGCCTGGCATTCATTCTCTGCTCTGGAAAAGGCTGATATCAACAGCACCCAAAGGAACAAGTTCCCGGCACTGTGGGTGGCGCCCACCAGGCAGCAGCGTCCACACAGGTGGGGCCAGCCTTGTCCTGGGCCCTGGTGCACTGGGCCTCCTCGCCCACACAACTTGGCCACCCAGGGTCTGTCACCAACCCTGCACCCACCTTTCAGGCCTCCAGCCCATCAGAAGTGGGGTAGGCTGTGGGGAAGGGCTTCCTCAGCCACTCCCCTAAGCCCTCTGATGAGACCATCCCAGAGCCTTAGACGGCGGCCTGCCTGCCGTGTTGGGGTGGGAGAAGGGCGGTGGGGTGGCATGCAGCTCTCTCATCAGCCCCTTAGGGATGAAAATCCTGCCATTTGCGGTAGGAAGACATCATGTCACTTCCCACTGGGCCTTCACTTCGCGTGGGGCCTTACCTCTGGACAGTGCTGAGACGCAGAGATATAGAACATCAAGTCAAATTTGAATTTCGGATAACAAATAATGTTTCGGTATGAATATGCCCCAAATACTGCACGGAGGCAAACTCATGCTAAAATACCTTTTGTTATTTATCTGAAATTCACATGTAACTCTGTGTCCTGTATTTTATCTGGCAGCCATACCTCTCTGTAGCCTTCCCTCCCTCCAGGCCTTCCCAGGGACTGTTTATTCTAGAGATGGTGCTCTTAAGCAAAGGTTTGTTCAGTTCTGATTCTCCAGGGATTCCTGGTGAAGACTAAAGACTTCAGGACACACCTTTAGAAGAATAACATCTCCATGGGTGAGTCCTGGAAATCTACATTTTATCAAGTTGTTAGTCAGGTGATTCTGATGCACATTTGTATTAGTTATCAGTGCTTCTGGGAAAATTATCCTCAAACACAGAGGCTGAAAACAAGCAACATTTATTAGTTCAGAGTTTGTATGGGTCAAAAATAGGAACTGACTGCGCTCTGATTCTGGCTCAGGGTCTCTCGTGATGCTCTGGTCTGGGTGTTGGTTCAGGCTGCAATCCTCTCCAGAGCCCGCTGCTGCTAGAGGACCTGCTTCTAGGCTCACTGGCGTGGCCGACAGGGCTGCAGGTCTCCCCCGGCTACTAGCTGGGAACATTAGCTCCTCACCATCTGGATCTCTGGCTTTCCTCAGAGCTAAGCATCTGGGAGGTGGGGGGAGGAGGACTTCCCCACGACAAATCCAAATCTAGATACACTCAGAGGAAGAGAAGGACACAAGATCATGAATACCAAGAAGCAGGAATCGTCGGCGGCCACCTTAGGGGACGTCCACCACAATGTTCAGGTTTGAGAATTACTACAGATCAGTCCTCAACACACTGCAACCAAGATCACATGTTAAAGATGGGAGCAAATGTCTTTCTTCACTTACTCTTTTCCTGTTTCTCTCCTTCCTCCACCTCCACCCCTTGGAGATTTGAGACAACAATGGAGAAGAAATGGGGAAGAAAAAAATAGTCAAAATCACAATCTTAGAATAGCAAAATGTTCAATTTTATTTTATTTTTTTAATGTTTTTTATTTATTTCTAGGAGAGAGAGAGAGAGACAGCATGAGCAGGGGAGGGTCAGAGAGAGAGGGAGTCACAGACTCTGAAAAAGGCTCCAGGCTCTGAGCTGGCAGTCAGCACAGAGCCCGACGCGGGGCTCGAACCCACGAACCGCGAGATCATGACCCGAGTGAAAGTCGGACGCTTAACCGACTAAGCCACCCGGGCACCCCACAAAATGTTCAATTTTAAAATGCTTGCAAATACTGTTTGAGTAGAAGTTAAATTCCATGCAAATCACATGCATATATAACTGTCCTCCTAACAATTTTACCATTCAGTGTGGCTTTTGGAGGGTATTGTATGAGGATTTCTGGTAACATAACAAGTAAGATGACCAGCTGTCTCAATTTGCCCAGGAGTCTCCCACGTCCTGGAAAACCCTTCAGTCCTGGGCAAAATGAGATGGTCGGTCTCCTTAACAAGGAGCCAACAAGGAATTCCATCAGCCACTCTGCCCATCTCTAGACTGAGTGGGTCCATCTTATGCTGAAGTAGAGAGACCCTGGACTTTGAGTTAGAATGTGTGCCCCAGGGGCACCTGGGTGGCTCAGTCGGTTAAGCATCTGACTCTTGGTTTCAGCTCAGGGTATGATCTCACAGATCGTGAGCTCGAGCCCTGCGTCAGGCTCTGCGCTGACCGTGTGTAGCCTGCTTGGCATTCTCTCTCCCTCTCTCTCTGCCACTTCTCCACTGTCTCTCAAAATAAATAAATAAATAAACTTAAAAAAAAAAAGAATGAGTGTCCTTAGCTGTGACCTTAAACTATCTTATCTAGAAGATAGGGATCGTAAATCTGCTTTCGTGAAGCTTGAATATAATGACGCACATGGGATTGCCTTGTAACTGAGAGGCGCCTTACAGATGATGTTCTTGAGTGCTATTCTGAAAAGAGCCACCCCTAGCATGAAAGGGGGAGACCAAAAAGGTCACCCCTTTACACCGTTGCAACCAAAATCTGACATTTTCTCATTCAGCTAGACTGGCTCTGCTGACTCCCTGAAATGGTAAACATAGCCCACAAAAACCACATTACACACCTTAATTTTTGTTTTAATTTGCAATTTATTCCCCCAATTGATTCACTGTCTCTTCCTGAAAACGCTCGGCTACCAAAAAGGACAGTCATCTCTATTGTATCCTCAATGACAAGTTTCCCAGAAAATCTGTGCGAAGTCTTGATAGAAAAGACATGATTCATTTTCACAGCTCTGATGGTGTGACTCCCGCCTCTCAGGGAGAAAGCCTGTCAGCAGCGCTGCTCCTTCCTCCACTTCCATTCCTCAAGGTTTGGGAGATTTTTTTTGTTGGTGGTGAGAAAAGCAGTAATCTGCGAATTGTGTTAAAATGCTCATCCTCTCTTTTTTTCTTCTGCCTTTACCACTTCTGGGCAGCCCTGAACATTTATAGGATGTGAAGTCTCTGGTTCAAAATAGGCAATGCCATTTTTGAACGAACTTCCTTCAAGGTGGGTCTATTAGCAAAAATGGCCTTAATTTACTTTTTGTCCAGCATTCTCCTCCAGTCACCCCTGTACCCTGGCTGTGAGTCCCAGGCACCCAACAAAGATGCTGGGTTGATTGTGATGTTAAAGAAAGACAACGCGGGTCTTCTCTCTTCCCTGCCATTGTGCAGCCATAAAGCCTGGAACTTCTCTCAGTCTCAAGAAGAAACTTGGCCTTCCTGCACCATGAGGTTAATTAAATATAAGGGTTTCATTTTTATTAGAATCCTTCTTTGGCATGCTTTAGATGTCTGGCCAGCTGAGTATTCCTATAGCATTATTATTTGCATTGTTTACTAGATGAGAGTTTCTACCTACTGACCTTAGCAAGCTTACCTAATAATGATAATAATCTAAACACTGCCATACAGCTCTTGCCTTATGATTTCTGTTTTATAGTTTTAACACTCAAAAAACTGATTTTTTGCCCTTTTCATGTTAGGCCAGTTTCCAAGGTGCATCCTTCCCCTGACATTCAAGATGGTGAGATTTTAATTGATGTAGACTTTAGCTTTGAGTTTCATACCTTTTCTACATAGATACAGAGTGTTTTGAAAATCATTTTTTGATGTCAGCAATTCTACCTCAAAAATATTGATTTTTAAAAAATGAAATTGCTTAAGCAAACTTTAAACAAGTACCATAATTAAAGCGATTATAAGCACATTTTCCCTCTGATTTGTTAAGTTGCATGCTAGCTTATAGTTAATAAATAATGAAAACATTACAACCATATCAAAAGAAATGACAAGAGGGAAAAAACATTCACCTACAACCTTACCAACCTGATACAACGAAGTAAATGGTTTCATTCCAGCATTTTTCTTTGGAAGGAGAAAAGATGGAGAGCAAGGCTCAAGACTCAGCCTTATCCCACAGCCCCTCCTCCCCTTCCCAGGGCATCCGGGGCATAAGGTAAGATTCAGTGACACGTGTAAGCTCTCGGGAAATTCTTGATGGAGCTGGGCAAAGACATTGTGATGGTTAGTCTTTTATTTGTCAACCTGGCTAGGCCACAGTGCCCAGATATTTGGTCAAACATCATTCTGGATGCTCCTGTGAGGGTGTTTTTGGAGATGAACATTTAAATTGGTGGACTCTGAGTAAAGCAGATTGCCTTCCTTAATATGGGTGGCCTTTGCCAATCAGGTGAAGGCCTAAATAGAACAAAAGACTGGAGAGCCCCAACTGAGTCCCTCACTCAGCTTCTCTTGGCCTTAATTTCCTCATCTCAAAAACTGAACGCACTTTGGAAACATTGCTATATAATGTCTTATGTTATACTTATCATATTTCCTAAATTGACAGCAATAGCTAAAATTAGAGGACTTTGTATGTGCCAGTCTTGATGCCAAGCACATATATTATTTCATTTGAACCATTCAACAAGCCCATCTGGTGAATAGTAATGTTGTTCCCATTTTATAAATGAAGAAACTGAGGTACAGAGAAGTTAATCCACTTGTCTTAGGTCACATAGCTGGGACTTGCCCTATCTAGACCTATCAGAACTAGGGAATGTTCTACCTAATGATTAGCTCTGTGACCATGGGAGTGATTTAACTGCTTTAAGTTCTGATATTCTTGCACGTACCATGGGATACTCATCTATCTCCTGAGCCTGTTGTGAGAATTCAGGGAGTCACATTTGGGATGGGCACTCAGGGAGGGCAATGAGAATTTCCATGCAGACCCCCCCCCCCAGGCCCCACACCGTCAGCCCCTCTGTACAGAGGATCGTCTAATCACACGTACGAACAGGCGAAACAGCCAGATTTGCTGTAAATTAATGACCAATCTGCCACATTTATCAAAATCGTGGTGTAAGAAATAATCTTCTTCCTGCAAAGAATCAATGAATTTGAACAGATTTATGTGAAGACTTTTAAAATGTTAAATGAATATCTTCTTCTTGAATATATTTGAGAAGACTACTTGAAAATGCAAACTTTTTGACAAATTCAAACATTCCTTTAAGTACTGAGGAAATACATCTTCTATTTTAAAATACAGTTATAAGATTATTATGTTAGTCTGCTAGGGCTGCCTTAACAAAGGAACACAGACTGGGTGTCTTATACAACAGAAATGTATATTATCATGGTTCTGGAGACTAGAAGTCCAACATCAACGTGTTGGCAGGCTTGGTTTCTTCTGAGGCCTCTGCCTTTGGCTTATAGATGGCCATTTTTTCCCTGTATCTTTACATTGTATTCCTTCTGTGCTTGTGTCCTAACTCCTCTTCCTCTTCTCCTTCTCCTCCTCCTCCTCCTCCTCCTCCTCCTTCTTCTCCTTCTTCTTTTTGTAAAGTATAGAGACTCTTTTTTAAAAAAATGTTCTAATTTATTTTTGATGGAGGGGGGCACAGAAAGAGGGAGAAACAGATCCAAAGCAGGCTCCAGGCTTTGAGCTATCAGCACAGAGCCCAACACAGCTTGAACTCACGAACCATGAGATCATAACCTGAGCCAAAGTCGGATGCTTAACCAACTGAGCCACCCACGTGCTTCTCTTCTTCTTTTAAAGACACCAGTCTTACAGGATCAGGGTCTACTTTAATGACCTCATTTAACACCCTATCTCCAAACAGTCACATTCTAAGGTATTGGGCATTAGGACTTCAGCATATGAATTTTGGAGGGGCATGGTCCAGCCCATACTAAGTATGTATTTATTAACAATATTCACAATAAAAATAAATTCCTATTTGTTGAACATCTTCAGAATCATTGACTATGCATGAAGAATATATTTATATTCACTGACTCTATTTGAGAAAAATATATGCATGAATATATTCATACAGAGAGTACTCCTTGAAACAAGCTTTAGGAAGCTGGTTTTTTGGTAAATTTGACAAGTTGGCCATATGGTAAATTGATACTTTGTTGCACTATCTCTCTGAAAATTAAGAATTGGGTATATTGATCCAGAGCTGATGTAAAGTCTGTGGGAGCCAAAATCTTATGGGGACCTCCCCACCCGCCAAGAATATCACACTATTATCTGACAGAGAAAAGTGCCGGAAGCCGAGAGCAGCTACTGAAACAATAGCAATGCTTAGCTGACAGGAAGCCGGCAAGGGGCATTCTGAGGGAACAGGGAAGGTTGGGCTTGGGGTACCTGGGAGCCTGGGGAAGGCCGGTTCAGGGGAGTGTTCCCTGGGGGCTTCTGGATCCTGGTAAGCGGGATGAGGACAGGGAGGGAGGGAAAGATGACCCTAGGGATTACTCTGTTTCCCAGCTTTGCTTTTCTTTCTCTTCCCTTTTTCCGGATCTCCTCCAACAGGCCACACAGCCATTTCTATGTCATAGATGCCACTTTCAAGTCACCCCAGCCACGGATCCTTAGCAGCATAAGCTCCTTAAGCTCAGGACTCATGACCCTTTGATTCATTTAGCAGTGAAAACCCAAGGGCATTAGTGGTGAAGCCCTTTCCCCTCCACATCCATGTCCAAATGTAGCTCCGTCTTCTTTCCTTCCCTTAGTCTACTGAAAGGGTGACCCTCTTCTTTCCAGAATCAATTTATCTGCCTGTGCTCTGAATCTCTTTCCTTCTATCTGGGATCCTTCGTATCTCACTTCACAGCTTATGTAGCTGCTCCGGCCCCCAGTAATCCCCCTTTGTCTTCAGCCACCACCCCTCCCCTTTCAACCTTTCTTATCTGCCTTTTCTCAACCCTAACGGTCTCACTCCCACCAAACTCTAAAGTTACTACTCTTTCTCCACTCTGCTGCCTCCTCACTTTTCGTTAACCGTCTGCGCATGTCTGTGTTCCCTGGAGACCTACCCAACACACGTAGGTGCTCAAGAAAAGAGAGCTGGATTAATTACTGACTTGAATCATGGAATATTCCTCCAGCAATAGGTGCAGGTATCCTGCAGGATGCAAGACGCTGTTCTTGTCTTCCGGGAGGGGGCTGTAGAGTTAGCAAGATACATGAAACAAGAAACATGAAAAGCTGTCACCAAAGCCACGCTGTGAGCGAACAGAACACAATCTTTAAAGTGGGGGCATCTGGAGAGACCTCTGAGCTCGACGAGCACCTTCCTGTTTTACCCAGCACTTACGCAAATGCAAACCAACAGAGTCATAAGAAAAATTTCAGGGACCAAAGGGGAACCCCAGCCACTGTACCACAACCGGGGGTTTACATAAAATGAATATAGTATGTATTTTGGGCTCTCTTTGGTTGAAAAGAATGGTGTCCTAAGAAGGAGGAAGGCGTCAGTGGACAAATGGGCTCTGAGCAGTGGTCAACGCAGACCATGAATCAGCGTAATACACCACACCTTCTCAGTGTCTGGAGGACAAAGGAAGGAACCAGGACCTGGCTGGTCCCGGCCCTCCCTGGTGGGGTGCCACCGCCTTGCCAGCTGCCAAGGTAGGGGTGAGGCTTTGAAGATGGAGAGTGCAAGGCAACCTCGGAAAGATTCTCCATCCTCGGTCTCTGCACAACGTCCTCTGGCCCCTGCTGGGCCCGCCCTTCCAGGAAGCTGCAGAACTTCCTCTCTCTGAGCAAAGTTGGCAGCTGAGAGTTAACGTCAGTGGGTCCCTGCAGCTGAGCCCTCCCGTGAGCTTCAGCCCCGGGGAGAGCCCTGTCTAAAGAGCCAGGCCCTGAGGTGCCCTGGCAGCCCTGCCAGCCCAGTATCTAATGCGTCAGTCTCCCCAGTAGGGCTTCCAACGGGCCAGGAGCTCCTGTAAACCAAAGCAGCATTTTATAGCCTGCCTCGAAGACCTGCAACCCTAAATTCTTCCAGAAACAATGGACTAAGATAGTGGTGAGTCGAGGAGTCCTCTCATTTGATAGGCTGGAGAAATCAAAGGGAACATTTGCAAAAGGAGGCCAATCCTCTATGCTCCAATACTATTACTCCTGCTACGATTACTACTACTAGTATTTATAAAATGGCTGGCATATCTTGGGCTCTGTTCTACAGCATTTAACTCCTTTAGGGAACTAGCTCCTTTACATGCCAGCAAGCAACTACAATCCACTGGCATTCCCCGGCGGCCACCATGAGGCCTGGCCCACCGAACACAAATGAGGAGAGATGGCGATTCTGTCTCTTCAGATGTCCTGTGAAGAGAAAAAGTGAGGGAGAAGATTGATAAGATCTGGCCCAAGATCAACTAGGGCCTGAGAGGACAAAAGCCTGAGAGACCCAGGGGAACTGATCCACAGTCTGTCTCCACTCGCTTCTGCAGAACTTCAGCTAAGAAGCCCTGCTCACTGGGAGACGAAGCAGATCCACAAACAGCTGCTGTGAACTGACAGAGCTGGCGCTCCTGGAGGAGTGACTGTCTGTTCCCGAATGGAGCGCGCCTGGCTGAGGAGAGGGGAAGAAGGAATCATACCTTTTGTCAAAGGTGAGCACCAAACGCAGTAACTCACATTTCCATTCAGCTTTGAGGCTGACATTTGGCTCTCACACCCATTTTCCTATCTGAGCATCTTAAGAACTCTGTGGGTGGACAGAACAAACGTCACCACAACTACCACCACCATCATCACCTCTATCTTATAGATGAAGAAACAAAGTCAGACCAAGGGACCTGCCCAAGGACTCACAGCCCATCCGCAGCAGAAATAGGAGTTGAGCCTTCACCATCTGGTCTTCGTCTAGCCCAGAAAGTTTCCTGCAAGAGGTGCTGAGGCAAATCTTTAATCAGGAGAGGGACAGTGTGACTTGAGGGGACTCTGCAAATCACGGTCAAGGCGTGAGAGCAAAGCACTCTGGGAACTCATGGATCAGGCGGAGAGTCATGTGATCTCTCCTGTGTCTGGAGAAACATTTTCAGGAGGTGTGTAAGCTGGAGCCATTTTGTTCTCCTCCTGAGCACGGGAGGGTGAGCAGGCCAGGGTTCTGGGCTCTCTCTTCACAGAATTCCACCCTCCTTGAGAGGTCCTCATGGAAGGGCAGCAAGCAACGCCATTCTTTTTGCTCTGGAGTAACGGTCACATTTTTCAAGGCTATCTGGCAAGGTGTGCCTGTGCTCTAGACATTGGTAAGAAAAATAAAGCTGTAGAATACCTCCGGGCTTTTATCAATTAATTACGAACCTACTTACAGCCTTCACCCTTCCTTATAAATGCACACCATCATTCTCTCTGCTCACATTACACAGGTCTGGGGAGAGATCTTTATCTAAATGCAAAACTCTGAATTGCTAAGTGGCAACATTAGCCTGAGTCTTATGTTAGCCCTGATCACATTAAGCGAGATCACATCAAGTGGTACTTATATCAGTTTTGACAGTCCCGAGCCCATCCATATGCAACCCCAACATTTAATCTGATTTCCTCCTGGTTGGTAATTTAATTCTCCTATAACTGCAGTCAATCATCTGTCAATCATCAAAGCTGTATTTAAAATTAATTTAGGGCTTTATTGTGGGAATAGTAAGTGAATGGTTCTTTGGTCTTTCATAAATTACCCCTTGTGAGACTCAGGGATCATTCTGGAAACTTTTAAAATCATGCTTTTATTTTAGACTTTTTTTTCTCAATTTTGTTTTAGGAGGCTGTGTAGTTGCAACAGAAAAACTTTAGACATCCCATAAATCACAATTTTTTTTAATATATATTTTTAATGTTTTTATTTATTTCTAGGAGAGAGAGAGAGCGTGAGCAGGGGAGGGTCAGAGAGAGAGGGAGTCACAGACTGAAACAGGCTCCAGGCTCTGAGCTGGCAGTCAGCACAGAGCCCGACGCGGGGCTCGAACCCACGAACCGCGAGACCACGACCTAAGCGAAAGTCGGACGCTTAACCGACTAAGCCACCCAGGCGCCCCATATCACAATTTTTAAAACTACGTTACCAATTTATTTAGAATAATAGAATGTAAGTATAAATTGTATTGACACTTTCAAATCTGGGGATATAAAAAAATTAGCCTCACTACAATCTTTTCAAATACTTTGCTCTGAACCAGTACATCTAAAGTCCGTAAAATGTGTATCGTATCTGTAACATCTGCCTCCCAAGGGTCAGCTCTGCCTCTATTGCAGGGCGCCCCTCTGGCATATGCTGGGAAGGGATTCTATCTTGCATGTCTCCGAGGGGCCCACCAGTGCAGGTGCTTTCCCTGGTGTTTCCAGCCCTGCTCTGTCCGTCCGGTAGGCTCTGCCTGGCCTTTCCAGACCTGTCCCTATGCTTCCTTCCTGTGGGCATCCACAGAGGGTGACGTGGCCAAATGTGATCCTTACCCTGGTTTCTTCACTTTCTGCCACCACAGGTAGGCTACACCGAGTTGTCGCTTTCCTGAGTGCTGTGTAACTAGAGGCAATTACAACGAAAGAGATAAAAATTGGGGGTGCCTGGATGGCTCAGTCAGTTAAACATCTGATCTTGGCTCAGGTCATGATCTCATGGTGTGTGAGTTGACGCCCCATGCTGGGCTCTGCACTGACAGTTTGGAGCCTGCTTGGCATTCTCTCTCTCTGCCCTTCCCCTGCTCATGCTCTCTCTCAAAATAAATAACTAAACTTAAAAAAAAAAGATAAAAGTGAAAACTCCATGCTAAATGTGGGCTTTTCCTGTAGCCCAGGAGAAGAGCAGCAAGGTATTTTAAACCCTTCTGAGAGGACACTTTGCATTCCTAATCTTGCTCTCTAGATCTCAGACCTTACTGCCTGAGGACCTCTCCTGATGCATGTTGTAACTTTCCCTCTGCTCTTCAGGCATTCCCTAACCCTGAGGGTTAGCCCAGCCTCAGAATCTACCCTCTCTCCTGAGGAATTCATCTTCTTGAGTTAATCTGTTTAAATTATAATCCCAGGATTCGGACAGAGGTGGAGGCTTGAACATTTTCTGGGTGCAAAGTGGTGAATTTCCTCTTTTGTTAACACATTAAATCAACTATCCCCACAACCGGTTTTTGTGTCCTCACTTTTACTTTCTGACTCATTTCGTGACGTTTATTTTTGTAGTTTGATAGTTTAGGATTTCCATAGTATGATCAGCAACTAAAACTATTCTAGAAAGCTTGTAAGTCGGCTGCTAAGATGATCTGGCTGGTATTATGGACAAAATGAAGACTTAAAAACCAGATCACTTCCTGAGAAAAGTCATCATTGAAAAGGATCTTAAGGTAGTAGGGTGTAAAGAGCAAGAAAGGTTTGAACATTCCACTAGTTAGGACCTGCTCCACTACAGGGAAGAGAAATCCGATCCCAAACCAAAGTTAACAAGGTTATATGACCGGAAAGTCCAGAAAGTATCGCTGGCTTTAGGTATGGCTGCTTCCAGAGGCTCAAAGTGAATCCCAATTTCTCTCTTTGCTTCTAGACTGCTTTCCTCTGTGTTGACCTTTACTCTTGGGTAGCTCAAGGCTTACTTTATCATTAGCATTAGCTATCCTAGAAAAGAAGTGCCTCCGATCCAGGAGGGCTCTTGGGGGCTAGCTTGGGTCATATGACACCCATCCCTACACTGCAGTTGAAGACATGAAGTGATTGGGCAGGGTTTGGTTACAGGGTTGGCGGGGGTGGTCAGTGCAGTGGGTCCATTTGGTCTTTATCAGACAGTTGGGAGAAGGTCTGATGGAAGACAGAAGGTATTGCTACGATTGGCCACCACATGGAAAGATCATGAGTAAAGACAGAGGCAGGAAAACACCTTGTGTATCCAGAAACTTGGGAAGAGAGCAAGAGGCAAGTAGAAGGAGATGTACCGAGGAGGGTACTGAACACCTGCCGGGGAGTTTTTACTTAACCTGGAAGACTCTGGGGAGGTTTCCGCGCAGGAGGAGGAATAGTTTGGAACTCCCACGTTAGGAGAGTGCTCTGCCACCACTGTTTGCACAGATGTGTGTGGAGAGATGCTGCAAGTGGGAGACTATGACAGGACGATAAATTAGAGGTAATGAGGCCCGACCCGAGGTGGTGGCAGTAAAAACAGAAAGGGGAGAAAGAGGCGAGTCCCTCTGACGGGGCATTCTTAGATACGCCGGTTTTACGTAGAGGCAGAAAGAATTAGAAATCGTGTAAGAATGGTACCATTAGTAAAACTAGAAAGCAAAGCAGAAGAGTCTAAATGGCAGAGATGTTGCTTGAAATGGACCTACTGCTGCTTGAGCCAGCAGAGGAGGAGCTCAGGCAAGCAGCTACGAGGCGAGGCCAGAGCTCAGGAGAGGGGTCGGAGCCAGAGGTGGAGGGACGGAGAATCTTCAACAGGCTTGTGGCTGGAATCACGAGAACTGCACCGTCCGTGAAGGAGAGTACGGAGAAGTGAGCTGTCGAAGGACAGAAGTCTGGGCAATCGTGAGGGAGGCAACAGGGAAGGAACAGGGACTCAGGATGAAGACTGAGAAGGAGCTGCCAGACGCGGGGCAGAAGGGTGAAGCTGAACTTACTGAACGCAAACAGGAGGGGAGTACAATTCCCAAAGAGAAAATGAATTAGACCTCCATGTCCAACATCAAGATTTCCAGTGTTGGTTCTGTACTATTTCCTATTCTCCTTGTTCCTTTTTACAGTGAACTCACAACCAAACTAAGTCCAATGAGCAGCCATGGAGGCTAAGGATTTATAGCTTTCTGAGAAGCAGTATTTCCACCCTGGTCTAGGATGCATTAATTTGAGACCTAAGTGTTCTATCATTAATGACACCATATTCTTTTTTGGGTTTTCTCTCATTTTTATAGCATGTGGACCAAGTATTAAAATAATGATCCAAGCACCGCTGTGCTGCAGGCAATGAAACTACTGACTAGTAAGCAGCATTACTCTGTTGATTTGGGGACAGATGTACAAAATCTGAACTTGGCACATGAAAGGCAGGTTGGAGATCTCGGTGTCTGATATACACAAATAGGAGTTATATGACCATCAAAGCATTTAAATTTAGAACTGCTTGTTCCTGAGGCCAAGGGAGAAGACATTTCCAAGATGTCTCTTTTATTGGTTCCCTTCTTTCCAATTATTCCTTGAATTCAGGTATTTCCCAGGATATTATCTTGGATGTTTTCTTCAATCTATACATTTGGAGTGATCTATAAGACCTTACGTTTCACTATCCACCCTCTCCTCTGCCCCCAAACCAATATATTTAATTGTCAATTACAGTATATCTTACCAGGGCTGCAATGTGTGGTTGTTCAGGCTGTGTACTGCAAAAAGCACCACTGAAAGGGGACACCATTCACATTGTAGATACTGTTTTGAAAACAAAAATTTTTTTAATTATAATTTGATTCCAAATTTATGTAATTTGTATACATGACAATTTTCTAGTAGCTGGCATTAAAATCTCTAGTTTTGATAAAATTAATACAATGCTTTTCTAAAAGAAAGTACTTTAAAGAAAAAGAATCCTATCTCATGTGCACAAGGGCACTGTGTGGGCTGTGCAGGCCCTGACTCTACCAGGATGCTCCATGGTCACCTATGTCATTTCTTGCTCAGTCTACATCCACAATGGCTCTCGAATCTATCCCTTCCTGTCCATTCACACTGCTACTGCCTGAGTTCAGACCCCTTACCTCCATCCCAACATCTCTCTGCTGGGCCATTTTAATGCCTACTCCTTGCCTGGCCTCATGTCTTGTCCTAGGGGTTAGTGTCCGAATGATCCTTCTAAAATGATTTGACACAAGTGATTTCCCCATTTAATATCCTCTCATTGCTTAGAGAATTCAACTTACACTCCTGAATATGGTATATAAGACTCTCCATGTCCTTCCCTGCCCTCCTGCCTACCAATCAGTCATCTGATACACCCTATGCTCCAACACCACCAAACCCCTACCTTTGATGCAGTTACAGGTGCTTGTTTGGAACACCTGACAGGTTGCTCACTGGATTCCAATTCACCCTTAAAAAATCAACTCCATGGTCCCCTCGTGAAATCTTCCCTGATCAACCCAGGCAGAGTTAACCATACTCTCCTTTACATAGCCACTGTAGCTAATTCATAACTTTATTATTGCACTTTTCCCAGAGCTGCAATTAGTTTTGCATGCCTATCACATTATGAGTGAGTAAACAACTTAAGGGTGTAGATTGCATTTTATCAATTTATTTGCCCTTAGTACCTAAGAGAGTACCAATATGTATACTGGACGCCCAGGGATACCTGTTTTTGTACCTGTTGGTGGACTGAATTGAAAGAGGTGAATAAAATGTGTCAAATGTTCCACAGAAGTCATGGAGGGTGGATATGATAATGGGAGAAGGGAAGAGAACGTAATGTTTCGAGGGTCCTTTACATCAGGTGTTGTTCTAGATACTTTACATATAGGACCTCAGCTTCCAGTTAAATGTGGAAGAACAGCAACAGGCCATATTTCATTTGCTATTCCCTTTACAGTATTTTGAAGAGTCTCCATTAACTTCTTTGCTAAACTCTGCTTCTGCTAATCTGCAGCACTGGGATCTTTGTGGCTTCAAGGGGCTATCTATTTCTTTGTTTTGTTTTGGTTTTACATTCTCCTGGGAAGTACCAAACCAGTAATGCCTAATAGCTTATTAATGCCTTTCAGGTTTTTTTTTTTTTTTTTTTTGGTAAGAGCAACCTCTTCTCCCCATGACCTCCTACTCCCTTCCTGTGATGAAGGTGGAGTCTAAAGAGGAGGTGAAAAAGTCAGGGTGGGACATAAAAGTAATTGATAGGCATACTGCAAAACAGAATCCCTTCTTTTTGACAACCGAGGCTTTGTTTTCCCCTGGACCCCGTCACGTGTTGTTTACTTGGGATGGCTTCTTCCACACTTCTCCAGTCTGCAAAGGTTGACCAGTCTCAATTTTCAGGAGAAGCCTTCCTCCCTGCTCTCGTTCCCATATATTATCTAGTTTAACCATCACCACAGTGCTAGCCAGTGCGCAGCATTCTCGTTTTACGGAAAGGGACATGAACACTAAGAGAGGTCAAGTTGCCCAGGGACACACAGCTAGATTAGGTGGTAATCAAGTGAACGATTTTCTCAAGAGAAAAACAGAATGTTCAAGCTTGGGTGCATAAAGGGAAGGTGACTGGACATGGAATAAAGCTGGGGCTGTGTTCCAGGGCTAATGGCGAATTCCGTTCCTACTGGCCATACTAAGCTGCTACTGTGCTCTCCTCTTCCTTGGGATCTCAACCACTACTTCAGAGAGAGTAACAGACAAATGCGGGTATCATCTATATTGAGAGCGCAGAGAGTTTTGGAACAACAAACGATTTTTAAAATCTTTGTGATAAGATTTAGAAAGAAGATAGCTTACTTTAAAAGCACATTTTTGTACCTACATTCATAAATGTCACAGAAATCCAAAGACACGCTCTGGTTAAACAATAAACACACTCACACCAAGAGTGGGTGACTTGTTTTTCTGGCTTTTAAGTTTCAAGAAACCAGGCCTACGTTCGATGTGAATTATATGCCATGAGATTATTCTTTACATTCATGCTAAATGCAAGTGTAAAACTTTTCATCTAAGTTTTGGATAAGACACGCTACTTGTATTTGGAGCATCAATGTGCACCTATACTGGGCATTGCAGTACAAGCGGGTTTTCTCGACACATTCCTAAAGGAATGAGGTCAGGTACTGAATGTGGATACATGGGAACTTTGTACTGTATACTCTCAACTCCCAGCAAGCATTTATTAATTTATTCATGCAATGATGAGCTGACAGGTAGAACTGAAAGCCACACTGTTGATGCCTGGGTTTCAGTACGCTTACAAAATGGAATAAAAGTTAACTTTAAAAAAATTACCCAAGAGTGTTTAAAAGCACTGATCCATCATGGGTTAATAGATTGTCAGTGGTACTTCATTAGAGGTAATAACATGAAGGAAATCTGGTAACTATTCAAACATTTAAGCCTGTAAGCTCTACATCAGGAATAACTCTTCTCCAAAAGTCTTAATCTTGCTTTGCAAGGAACAAATAGCAGTTTTCAACCTTGTGAATACTAAAAAGTACAAACTTACTATTTATCAAAATAAGTTAGTGCATTACAGATAATACATGTTTCTAAAAACGAAAACCAGCTATTTAGTGTTCATGATAGTCTTTTCCATCAGTTGAAAATAAAAAGGCCTTGAAAATTTAATAAATGTAGGTACCATGTGCCTCTTTACACTGGTTGGTGAGGAAGCAGATACAATTCCTTCGCATTCTCTCATTCTTGTCTGCTGGTATGCCTAGGTAGTCCAAGGGATTAATTATGCTAAGATCCCGGAACCCAGTATATATGTATGACGTGGTAAAAAACTGTTTATCTGGAAAGTAACTGCTACAGAAGTATTTTAGACTCACTTTGCTTTTCGAGTTAACACATCTAAACTTTCAAAATAGTTATGTAGATACATCAAGTCCTAGGCTTCAGAAAAATGATCTGCTGCTATACTTTTAATGACCTGTTATCTAACCAGTTTAACAGATGTGATAATAAGAATCAAAAAGTGAAGAAGTGGATGAAGGTTCAGGGAGGTAGGATGTTAATCCTGGAGCTCCAGACAGCCAAGATCAGGCTCCTGTATTTAGATATGAGGATTTCCTGTTTCTAATAGCCTTTGCATGCCAATGCACTTACTTTAAAACCATAACAATGAGGGGCGCCTGGGTGGCTCTATCAGTTAAGGGTCTGACTTTGGCTCAGGTCATGATCTCCCAGACTGTGGGTTTGAGCCCCATGTTGGGCTCTGTGCTGACAGCACAGAGCCTGGAGTCTGCTTCTCATTCTGTGTCTCCCTCCCTCTCTGCCCTTCTCCTGCTCACGTTCTGTCTCTCTGCCTCTCTCTCTCAAAAATAAACATTGAAAAAAGAAACAATAAAATAAAACTGTAAAAATGACAGGGGGGCCTGGAGGCTCAGTTGGTTGAGCATCCTACTTTGGTTCAGGTTATATACTCAGTTTGTGGGTTCGAGCCCGATGTCGGGCTTTTTGCCCTGACAAGAGGGAGACTGCTGCCTCCCTCTCTCAAAAATATATAAAACATCTCAAAAAAAAAAAAAAAAAACCCAGCAAACAAATGCTTTTCTTCCACTCCATTTTCTTCCTTTTTCTAAAATTGCTTACTTGTTCAAATAACTGTGCATGAACAGTGTTCTCAACGTCCTCCTGGCCCAAGCGCCATTCCCACCATGATGGGAGAGTCATGTTTACATGGGTCCTATACTCCCAAAAAGACACCCAGATTTTGCGTATAGACATAAATAGATTTATACTATACACATTTTCTTACTCCCTACATGTAAAGTAATTCCACCTCTACTGTAATCACATGTATTGAACACTTAGTATATGCCAGGTACGTGAGTACATTTTACGTATTAAACTGACTTTAACCCCCATGGCAAACTATTAGGTGGATACTATTATGATCCTCATCTACATATGAGAAAACAAGCACATTACGTTTAAATAACTTTCTCAAGGTCACACAGCTAGTAAATGGCAGAACTGGAATTCAAGCTGAGATAATCTGGTCTCCAGGCCTGTGCTCTGACACATGGTTTTCAGGATGCGTGAAAAAAACATTATCATGGAGGTAATTTGCTCTAACACATTTTTTAAATCTATTATTTGAAAACTGTCTTGTCATTGCTGAGAATTACGTAAAATTTATCTCACAAATTGATGCACTCACTAGATCTTCACAAAACCTGAACCAATACTCAAGAACTGAAGACAATGTCTTAAGTGACCCCAAGTATGTAACAGTTTTAACCTACCTAACTGGTGTAAATGGTTTGAGAATTTACTGCTCTCTTACTCAAAATTATGTAGAGTGAAAACATTACTTTTCCATTACTTGATTTTCAGTAAAATTTTGCTGCCACAATTTTTCCTGTATTTGTATTAGCTTGAAGGCCTCCATGGTATGAAAACTGAATGTTTTCACAATTATTATCAATGAATCAAAACTGAGTTTTCACAATTATTATCAATGAAACTCTTTCAAACCCTGATGTTTCCTGAGGAGAGAGAAAAACTGAGTATCAAGTAGCTGGCCTAAGCCTACAGGACTACGCATAGTCAAAGAGCTTCAGTCTTCTGATGTAAAAACTACTTATTACTCTAGTGAGGAAAGTACACTGGTTTGAAAAGCTAATTAAAATTAATTAGAAGGTTCAAGTACCTCAAACATAGAATCATGCATTATATAAAAGGTACTTTCAAGGTCAATTTAATTTTCAGAACCTGACCAACTAATTTAGTCTCTTAAATGTCTCTCACAGAAGATATCCATAGCAGAGAAATGGTTTATGAATTGCAATTTCTGTAGCTTTAGGAAAAACACTCAGCAATTCAAAAGGCATATCAGAATGCAATTGGGGCACCTGGGTGGCTCAATCAATTAAACTTTTGACTTCTTCTCGTGTCATGATCTCATGGTTAGTGGGTTTGAGTCCTGCATCAGGCTCTGCGCTAACAGTGCAGAGCTGGCTTGGGATTCTCTCTCTCTCTCTCTCTCCTTCTGTCTTCCCCTCCTTCACTTGTGCACAAAATAAACAAACTTAAAAAAAAAAAAAGAATGCAATAGACATAATGATATATCAAATATAATTTTATAAGAAAAAAATCCAGCTTTCCTTATACTGTTGTTATGGTCTGAATGTGTGTGTTCCCCTGACCCAGCCCAAAATCTTAATGTTAAAACTTATTCCCCCAGTGTGATGGTATCTGGAGGTGGGTGTTTGAGAGATGAGTAGGTCATGAGGGTGAAGCTCTAGTAAGTGGATCAGTGCCCTAAAAGAGACCCCAGGGAGATCATCTGTCCCTTCTGCCATGTGCAGTTACAATGAGAAGACAGCTGCCTATGAGGAAGTTGGTGCCTTGATCTTGGACTTCCAATTTCCAGAATGGTGAGAAATACATTTCTGTTGTTTATAAGCCTCCCAGTCTGGGATATTTTGTTCCAGCAGCCCAAACACACTAAGACAACCATGTTATGCTGGAAAGCAAATCATAATAGGTAGGTTTATTATTTTTTTAAGTAGGCTCCACACCCAGTGTGGGGTATGAACTCATGACCCTGAGATCAAGGGTTGGATGCTCTACTGACTGAGCCACCCAGGTACCCTGTATGTTTATTTTATAAAATCTAATTTGGTTCTCCTTTAAAATGCAAGTGTGATTCTATTTCAAAATATTCTATTTTAACGACTTCCTTTTTATAAACTGTTTAAAGACAAAGTGAAACAATGCCATCTACAGGGAAACTTTAGAACAACAGTCCTATTTCTAGAACCCATACATCTTTAAATTAATAGAACATTTATGGTCTGAGTTATTATATTGCATCTGGCATCATTTGACAAGAAAAAAAGGGTAGCTGTGTAAAAAAAAATCATTCTGGATTAATACTTCCTAAAATAATTAAAAACAACCTAATTTCACTCCCACGTTCATCACACTTAAGAGTCAGAGACCCTTGGTTACAAACTATACCTGATGGAGATTCAAAGTTATGCAACTTCAAAAAACTTTAGTTTTAACTGGTAGACACGGGAGACTCAAGTCATTGGAGACTGACCTGCAACAATTTCCTTTTTCCAGCTATCGGACTCCCTTCCACTTTCCTCTTGAGTAGCATCACCTTTACCTTGGTCAGATCCTCTACATTTTCAGGTAAATAGTTTCTAAAGTTCAGTCCTGTTTAAGCCCTCTTGCACAGGCCAGTCCACACTGGATTCAAAGCTCTTTTCCTCCTTATGCAGTGCAGGTCCATTCTAATCATGGATGGGTTGTTTTTATATTTCTCCTCTCTTTGCTCTTTCTCTTGGGAAGTAGATTTTGGAAGAGGTTTCCTTAATGTGTGGTTCCCAACTTAGGCCAAACACCCAAACCACTTGGAGCCGTTTGATAAAAATTCCATGCCTCTTACTTAATTCAACTGCAACCTGAAAATGGCTTTTGTTTGCTTTTAATTTTCTAGGTGATTCCACGTGCAGCCTAGTTTGAGGACTCCCTAATCAGCGATAACTGAAGGCTGACAATTAGCCTATGGGTTTCATGGTGCATAATGGCAACCCCACCCTCCACTCCCAGAGGCACAGCAGCTCACTCCTGAGCAGTCCCCGCAACCCAGCCCTGGCAGTCCCTTGAGATTTGGCTGCATCCTGGCTGATCCCCAGTCCCTGGCATCACACGTCTCATTTACAGCTCCTGCCCTTGAACTTCCTCACGTGGCTGCACAAGTCCTTCAGCCTCCAACTTATGTTATCAACTCTCAGGCTGACAGGATCCATCTTTAATACCTCTCTGCCTGACAGCCCCTGCCTCTCCAATTCCATTCCTGTGCTCTAGAACAGCCAACAGATAGGCTAACATGCTGGGTAAACACAAATCCAACCAGGTGGAGAAAATGCTGGGGTTCCCCTTCTTAGAGGCATCCTGAATCTTGAATTATTCCCTCAGGCCTCCCTCTTGTGGTTTCTGAGTACAGATGCTTCCTATCCCCTCTCTCGCGAGAGCCCAAAGGACTAGATCCCCTTCCCCAACACTGCCTCTCCCTGGCCTCCCCATCTGTGGAATGGTGGTTCATGACACAGCGTGTTACATGAACTGGCAGCCCTCAGTAAGCCATGCAGTGCTCACTGGTCCTAACCACCAGTACTTCTCTTCTTACAACGTGGAGACTTGGTAACTTTTAGTCTATGCTTTGGTGTTAAATCCAGAATAGGGACAAAAAAAAATCCCATGATTTAATGTTAAAAATTACTTAAATCTACAGTCAGTGACTTAGGTCAGTTTTCTAGAACAGGTGGTAATGAATGTATGCAAGTGACTTATTAAAGAAAAAGTAAGGAGTGGAAATAGGACAGGGAAGGAAGCATACTCAAGCAAAGGGGTGATTCTGATAAAGCGGTAGAGGCTGACCTCAACCCAACTCCTCCAGAGAGTTCTGGAGTATAAGGTGCACCTATGTGAGGTAAAGAAGCCGGGCTTTCATCCAGAAATCTCAAGGAGCACTTCAGGCCAAAGACCCAGAGGCAGTGAATATTACAGATCTAGTGAACAGGGAAGGAGGGAGAGGGATCTGAAGAACCTGGGTGGATCACTATAGCTGGTCAATGTCAGACTTATTTTTATAAGCTCCACAACTTCTGAAAAAGGCTAGAAAGTAGTTACTTGTACCAAGATTTCACTAATAATAACTGGTGCTATCCGTAACTAACAAAGTATCATATATTTAGTTTATACTGTTTAGTAAACTGCTTAATAAAATGCTAAGGGCAGTATGAACAACACATTTTGAAGAACAGCAAAACAAACTTTAAAGATTGAAGGAAGCCTGGAGAAAAGAATGGTTCTTTTGACTTGGATCCTTAATTTCTCTAAATAGGGCTGCTTTTGCTTTTTCTGGAAAGTCTGCTTTAGAGTTCATTTTCTTCAAAACCATCTCTGAAACATTCACAAAATCAAAGGATCTCAAAAACAACGTTTATTTTAAAACATAAAATGTGCCACCTAGCACCAATGCCTGTAAGTACCAGAATCCCATCCAGTTAGTATTCCTCTTCACAACTGGTATGACTGAAGTCCTTGATAGATCGAGTGTGAGCAGATGATTATCATTAAAAACATAAAACAGACTACACAGAACCAAAATCATTTGCTAAATGTATACAGAACTACATGTGTAGTTACTTAAAAACCTTTCTCTGTTTGATGAAAAAACACCAGTGATTTTAGTCATTTTCCTAGAAGATATACATAAGGAGAAGTGCAAGAGCCACATAAGTGCACAAGCCTGAAACCGGGCTTTTTATTCCAACTCCATTCTCAGATGGAAGATTCTGTAAAGATACCTTTCCCCCCTCCTGATTTCTTACTTTCATTCTTACCAACTCATTACAGTATAATTTACTATTCAACTCACACAGACATGTATGGTGGAGGAAAAGAATAAAACTTTGGCTAATTTAAGTATACAAAATAATATTTTTGCTTTTTTTTTAAATAAGAGAACATTTATATACTAAAGCTATCTTAATAACAGCAATGAAGTAGAAGATACATATAAATCCACTGCAGAATGATGTTAAAATAAAAAACTCTTTTTATACTTATCTATCTAGAAGACAACTAAATTTTACTAGTCTCAATTTAAACATAATTACATAGTAATAGATGCCTCTCTTTAGAAATTGGATCAATTTATCTCTAGTTTCCTCACAATACACCAAATCACCCATGCAGCTTCACTGGTTACTTTTGGCAGAGACTTTGGCAAATCTCAATACCTATTTTCATTTGAGGAGTGACTGATACGCAATTTTCTTTTAAGCAGAACTTGATACTGAGCTAAAAGTAAACTAAGTTGGATTTCAGGCCCAATGGCAGGCAGGCAATCAGTAATCATTTTTCAAATTGCAGGCAGCCCATGGTAGTTGTCATTTATATATCGAATCTCTAAGGACATGCTGGAATAATCTGTGAACACAATCTTCCCATGCTGTATTCACAATGCTCCACTCACATCTTTAGCTTACCCAGGTTGTTAGAGACTTGGGTAAGATGACTAAAGGTTTCACGATGGAGATTTCTATAAGAAAAAAAAAAAGAAAAAAAGGAAACTTTAAAGATAGATTTCTTACCAAAAATTAAGTACTTACTGGGTACTTAATACTAGGTAATATGCCTAGTAATGGCTAAATGCAATTCAAAGGAACAATCATGCATAATTTTTAGAGATGGTTCTTTGCTGATACCTAAACACAAGCAATCAAAGAAAAATGAGACACAATGGACATCATCAAAATTAAAAAGCTTTGTGCTTCAAAGGATATACTATCAAGAAAACAAAAAGACGGGGCGCCTGGGTGGCTTAGTCGGTTAAGCGTCTGACTTTCACTTAGGTCATGATCTCGCGGTTCGTGGGTTCGGGCCCTGCGTCGGGCTCTGTGCTGACTGCCAGCTCAGAGCCTGGAGCCTGTTTCAGTCTGTGACTCCCTCTCTCTCTGACCCTCCCCTGCTCACGCTGTCTCTCTCTCTCTCTCCTAGAAATAAATAAAACATTAAAAAAAAAAAAAAAAAAAAAGACAACTCACAGAAAGAAAGAAAGAACTTGGAAGTTCTGTTAAGGGTCTCATACCCAGAATATATAAACAACTGTTACAACTCAACAATAAATAGACAACCCAATTTAAAAACAGGCAAAGTGCTTCTGTAAAGATATACAAATGGCCAATAAGTACATGCAAAGATATTCAACATGATTAGTCACTTGGGAAATGAAAATAAAAACCACAATGAGATACCACTTCACACTTACTAAGATGGGTAGAATCAAAAAATTGACAATGACGAGTGTTGGTGAGGATACAAAGAAATTAGACTCAGCTATTGCTAGTAGGAACTAAAATGGTACAGTAGCTTTGGAATACAGTTTGTTAATTCCTCAAAAAGTTACAGAATTCGCATATAACCCCGCAATTCTACTCTAAGGTACATACCCAAGAAATTTGAAAACATAGGTCATACAAAAATTCTCACATGAATACTCATAGTATTATTCATTATAGCCAAAAGTGAAAACCACTGAAATGCCTATCAAACGATGAATCGATAAAGTGTAGTATATGCACACAAATATTAAACTGTATTTAAAAAAAAATACATTATACTTAAAAAACTTAAAAAGTGCTGATAATGTGGGTTCCAACATGTATAAACCTTAAAAACCACTGTGCTGTTAGAAGCCAGATACAGGAAGCCACAGAGTGTGTGATTCCATTTATATGAAATGTTCAGAATAGGCAAATCAATAGAGAACAGACTGATGGTTGCCAAGGACTAGGGAAAGGCAGGAATAGGAAGTGACTGCTAATGGGTATGGGGTTTCTTTTTGGGGTGATAAAAATGTTTAGAATTAAAAAGGTGATGATTGTGCAACTCTGAGTATACTATAAAACCACTACATTGTACATTTTAAAAGGGTGAATTTTATGGTATGTGAATGTTATCAATTTTTAAAAATAAACTGATTCTGGGGCACCTGTGACTTCGGCTCAGGTCACAATCTCACAGTTTGTGAGTTTGAGCCTCGCGTCGGGCTCTGTGCTGATGGCTCAGAGCCTGGAGCCTGCTTCGGATTCTGTCTCCCTCTCTCTCTGCCCCTCCCCCGCTTGCACTCGGTCTCTCTCAAAAAATAAACCAAAAAAATAAAACCAAAAACTGATTCTGGGGCACCTGGATGGCTCAGTCAGTTGAGTGTTGGTCTCTTGATCCACTCAGGTCATGATCCCAGGGTTATGGGACTGAGTCCGACATCAGGCTTTGCACTGAGTGTGGAGCCTGCTAAAGGTGGCTCAGTTGGTTAAACTTCTGACTCTTGATTTCAGCTTAGATCATGATCTCACAGCTATGAGATCAAACCCCACGTCAGGATCCAGTGCAGAGGCCACTCAGGACTCTCTTTCCCTCTTTCTCTGCCTGTCCCCTGCTCATGATTTCTTCCCCACCCCTGCTTGCGCTCTCTCTGTAACAATTAAAAAAAAAAAAAAAAGTGATTCTCTGGGAGCGTGGGGGTTGGGGGGAATGCAAGCCTGTACATTTAGGATACACAAAATCTTTATGCCTTAAAAAAATTTTACTTTCACAACTACAGCACAGGGGCACCTGGCTGTCTCAGTTGGTAGAGCATGTGACTCCAATCTTGGGATTGCAAGTTTGAGTCCCTCGTCTGGTGCAGAGATTACTCAAAAACAAATCTTCTTTTAAGACAGAGAATGTGAGCTGGGGAGAGGCAGAGAGCGAGGGAGAGAAAGAATATGAAGCAGGCTCCACACTGTCAGCACAGAGCCTGATGCAGGGCTCATCTTCACAAACCATGAGATTGTGACCTGAGCTGAAATCAACAGTTGGATGCTTTACCAAGACACCAGGTACCCCTAAAAATAAATAAAGAAAAACAACCCTGTACAACAGCTTGAGCTAACCACTTTCCTTAAAACATAAAACATTTTAAAATTTATCTTTGTATCTCCAGCACCATGCCAAATAAAAGTTAGTAGATCTGAATTACTAACCCCACCAGTCCTCTTTCTTTATAGTCCTAACACCTAGCCTTGATCCCCCAAACTGCATGTTATTTGCTTTTGGCTAGAATTCACATAATTGGAAAACTTCTTCATAAGCAAATTCAATCAAAGAGAACAGAAACAAGTGGGATTTACTAAATTAAGCATCCTTAATTCACAAACTTGACCATGTTTTTGCTTTATACTAGTCACATACACAGGTGATACAAAAATGGATAAGACACAATTCTTCCTTTCTACAGGCTTAAACTCTGGGCATCACAGAGGCAACTTGCATAAAATACAATTATTCTAACAGGTAAAGAAAGCAACGAAAAAGGGAAACATACATAAATTTTATTTAACACAGTGCATTTTTATTTACTGTACAGACCTCCCTTACTGTATTTTACTTTGTACTTTACTGTTTAAAAAAATTGGGGGCACCTGGGTGGCTCAGTCAGTTAAGCATCCAACTTTGGCTCAGGTCATGATCTCATAGTTCATGAGTTTGAGACTGGAGTTGGGCTCAGTGCTGATAGTGTATTTATTTATTTATTTTTAATTTTTTTAAAAAATTTATTTCTAGGAGAGAGAGAGAGAGAGAGACAGCGTGAGCAGGGAAGGGTCAGAGAGAGAAGGAGTCACAGACTCTGAAACAGGCTCCAGGCTCTGAGCTGGCAGTCAGCACAGAGCCCGACGCGGGGCTCGAACCCACGAACCGCGAGATCATGACCTAAGCAAAAGTCAGACGCTTAACCGACTAAGCCACCCAGGCGCCCCTCAGTGCTGACAGTGTAGAGCCTGCTTGGAATTTTCTCTCTCTGCCCTTCCCTCACTTGCACTTTCTCTCTCAAAATAAATAAACTTAAAAAAATTCTGAATGACTGGAGAAAGTTCACAGAAGTCAGAACTGGCATTTTTAAATCTCTAACAAACTTACAAATAGCTGAGTTACTTGCTTGAGGTAATGCCCAATTATAAACCTCTATTATTTATGGATGGAAAAGAACTTTGTAAAAGCAGCCTGCCTAATTTTAAAGGAAGAATCCAAGCCCAGGTAGATTAAGTTATCTTAACACTGAGAGTGCCTTAGTTCAGTGAGTTTATCAGAGCTGTTTCCCCACATCACAATCAACACCTATACCACATATTAGCTCAGAGACAGTGCCCAGCTAATGAAATCTCCACAGAGGATAAAGAGCTGGGACTATATTTACCAGTTTTTTCTTTCTGATGTGTAAAATATGAATATCTTCACTTCGATATTCTTCATCATGTTTCTCCAAAGGAATTTTTTCAAAGTCAAAGTCTAGTTGGAGAAGCTATAAATTTAAAAGAGATACACTTTAAATTCAGTAATATGAAGTGTCCTGAGGTGACAGAAGTCAGAATGATGGTTAATTTTAGAGTATGACTTGGGAATGGCACGTAGGGGCCTTCCAAGGTCCTACAAGTAAGTGTTCTCTATCTTTATGTAGGGTGGTGGTTGCTGGGGTGTATACATATGAAAAACTGAGCCAAGCACTGGATATATGTGCATTTTACATGTATTTTAACTCAACTGAAACTATTTAGCAATATAAAATTTTCAATTATACTCTCAAAAGTTAAAAAAAAAGTTCAACTTTTGCTTTCAAGAAAAATAAAAAACCATTTTAGCACGTATCTAAGGCAGTCATCTACTTGCTTTCTGACTTAAGTATTCCTTTCAGCAGATAAAGGGCTGTGTGGATGTACCCTCAAGAGGAGTCACTTGTAAAGTGATGGATTTTTGCCCATCAAAAGCATTTCGATGACAATCAGGGGAAGATGGGTGAAACATACACGGGGCTCTGTGTACTCTTGCAACTTTGTGTGAGTCTTTATTTCAAAGTAAAAAGTTGAGAGCAAGAGACAGTGAGAGAGAGAGAGAGAGAGAGAGAGAGAGAAAGAGAGAGGGAGAGGGAGAGAAGAGAGAGAAAGAAACTGAAAGTAGACGGGATATCTTCCAGGGCACGAGGGTGGCTCAGTCAGTTATGTGGTTATGTGTCTAACACTTGATTTCAGCTCAGGTCATGATCTCACAGTTAATGGGTTCCTGGGATTGAGTCCCATGTTGGGCTCTGCCCTGAGAGGAAGAGCCAGCCTGCCTGGGATTCTCTCACTCGCTCTCTGCCTCTCCCCTGTACACTCTCTCTCAAATGAATAAGTAAACTTAAAAAAAAGAAAGTAGATACGAGATCTTTGTCAAAGTTTTCATAAAAATGTAGAGAAAAACACAGGAGAACATATCACATATCATGTTACAGGATGTAAACTCCGAAAGTAATACATACATCGTTAATATGTTCCCCAAAACATTGTGTTTAATCAAGAAACATTAAAAACTTTCCCAGAAAAGACAAGGGTGTCATCTTTACTTTAGATTGTTCTGTAAATATTAGATCACCTAATTAGAAAAGAAAAAGAAATAAAAGATCAGAAAAGATGAAAAAAAACCAGGGGGCTTAATAGAACAGTGGGCCATGAAAGATCCTTTCCTTGGGTTCCTACAAGTAGAATGTTTTCCCCACCAAAACTACCATAATATACTTGAACACAGTCACATAAAGCCTTGTGGAAGGGTAATCAGTATAAAAACAGAATCTAGTACAGTACTTACCTCAAAATACTTTTTCTCAATTTCTGGATTTTTCCCCATTGTTCGTTGTTCATAACAACATATAATACAAGTCTCAAATCCACTAAGATCTTTTAGAGTTTTCAACAATGGCTCCAAAGACTGTTCAAAAAGGAATACAGTTTTTGTTTATGATTTTTAAATATTTATATTTTTACTATAAAAAGGGGGCAGGGGAAGTACAAAGGGTAATTGCAATTTCCCTCCAACTTATCCATCTTTGAATTAATCCAACAAAATACATGTGGTTAAAGCTCCGTAACGAATAACTAGTAAACTTCTCTTAACTAATCAATCATTGCACTCATTTCAGTTTCCAAAGAGAGGAGTCAAGTGACTGCATTTTGGAGTGCCCAGGGGAAAACAAACTGAAATGACTTCACCCTTAAAAAATTAATTTTACTTAATCTATTTTAATTTGATTTTGCCTACAAAGGCAAGTTTGACACTAACTTGAACATAGGTTAGCTCAATCCTTATTTTAAAAATGAGTGATGCCCACGATACTATACAAATGGGTTTTAAAAAAATCATTCTGAATCATCTTGCCACAGAAAAATGAATTCTTTACAAAGCAACTTAATTCTCAATGTCATGGTCAACATGTTGACTATGAAGAGCTTTAAAAAAACCTTAGCTTTTCATAACAGATCCAAACGCAAAACCCTTTTAAAATATTACAGGAGCTTCTAGTAAAATGCACATAACACTCTTCTCCACTGTTTCACAGGTATATACGTTTACTATGAGTGTACATATATATAGTTCCTTATAACCTTTATTTTCTCTTTACGGTATCACCAACTTTAGGACAAATATCCTGCATTTAGAGATGTTAAAATGTGAAGAAATGTGCACTATGAAATCCACGAATCATGGTACAACGTCTAAAGGAAGGCACTTCACTCACTGAGTACTTACCTCTTCGTAGTATATGCAGTCGGCCATCAGTATGTAGTCTGGTGGAGAAGCAAAGTCTTCTATTTCTTCCCCCCTTAAAAATGTCAACCAAATATTTTAATGGTTGCTTTAATACTTTAAAACACAGTTTTATAAACAAAGCCTAAAAAGTCCCCTTCGTATTAACTATGCTTTTAGTGAAATGCAATTTAAAGGAAACTACAAATCGTTAACTTAAAACAAGCTGAAAGGCCATACAAACCATTTCAGTACCTTGGCTTGAATAGAACCAGTGACAAGGTGCTCGTTCATATTAATATTCATCTTCAGCAAGTCTTGCAATTCCTCAAGATCAGTGACTACAACATCAGCCCTGTAAAATAAGGTCGACTGAGGTGTAGGCACAAGCATGGTAAACCAATAATGCGGGTTTCCCGAACAAATCGGCGCCCCCTCCCGCCAGCTCTTACCCGAGGGTAGCGGCCATGAGCCCCACGGCCCCTGTGCCAGAGCCCAGTTCCAGCACCGACCGCCGGCTCAGAGCGTGGGCCCCATCGCCGGAAAACTCGGGCGTTTCCAGGTACTTAGAAAGAACAATGGCAGCATCCCAAACAACGCAGCCCACGCCGCCAGAGCCATACTGCTGCAGTCGTAACACTGTGCCATCTCGCTTCTCCAAAACTCGAACAAAGTTCCGCAGCGGGTCCTCCGCGGAGGACTCCAGGGTAGCCGCCATCGCTGCCCAGCAACAAGAGGCGGCGCGCGCAGTGACGTCACATCCACACGCACCGCCACAAGGGCCGACTTGAAGAGGGCCCGGCGCCGCCTAGTGGCCAAGTTGGCGTCACTGCGCGTGCGCAAAGGCACAAAGCCGGGAAGGCAGGGTTACCAGGGCGTGGTCGAGCACGAGGCCGCCCGCTTCCCCAACATGCGTGCTGGTCTGCCTCACTCCGCTCAATTACAAGTCAGGCCTAACAAACAAGTAGTTTAAATCACTCTTCCAAAGCTAAGATTATGAACTGCTCTTTAAAAAACAAAGGTAACTTGAGAGCGTTTTCACCTGGAGATTAATTCACAAGGAAGGCTAATAATCCTTATCAAGAGTTTCCTAGCATGCTTCTAATGAATGCATAAAAATAGCTGCTTGGAAGCTTGCTGTGTTTTAAAGGTTGACAAAATTATCCCTCTAAAATTTACTTCACTTAAATTCTTTGGGATTATGTAAAGTAAATTGCACAAAATATTGTAAATAATGTGGGTGTATTTAACAGTCTCTCCCCTTGTTCCTTACAATGAAAACACATACTTTAAAAGGCTTTTAAAAATTAAGACTGGGGTGATTTATTAATCTTGTTAAGAACTCTGATACAAAGCACAGTAAAAGGCCACAGACCAGTAAATAAACTGGTTGGCTATTTTACAACTGCTGCTACAACACTATTAGCAAAACACGCTTTTTCATCACTTTGAACCCAGGAGTCTAAATGGCAAATAAAAGTTTTACTCACTTCTCTGAATAAAAAGTTTAATAAAGCTTTAAGTATTTGCTGGATTAAATGTTACCAATGTAAAAAAAATATTTAAAAAATTTTAGTTAACATGAAATTTATAGAGAAAGTTACTAGGTCTTGAGGGCAAAGCAGTTGGTTCCTATGCCGTAAGAATTTTTCCTCTGAATTTCTGAATTAGTAAAGTAGCAGATTGTATTATAGGCCTCGAGTCACTTAAATTTATATAGGTTATTAGCATTATCTTTAAATATACAATATAAACAAAACTGTACATACATGGCATATTAACTTTTGTTTTCCAAAACAACAGGCAACTCATTAGCTAAAGACACCATAGTCTGCAAAAACAAAAGGCACATCTGAATGAGATACATGCCCTTTTTCCCTCTATGATTGGGTTAGGTAGTCTCTGTATACATGTTGACAAAATAATAAACACAGTGCATTCTATTATTTTCATTCTATTTTTCATTTTTTGTCTTCAGCAGCAAATTCTGGCGTTTAAGACATGGCATTAAAGAGTTTTAAGAACAGTGGGTGTTTTTCACAATTCTCCTAAATGTAAAAACTATAAGTAAAAACTAGAAGATGGTCAAAGAGTTTTAAAAATCAGTAATACCGTACACCCCCTACACCTGTGTAAATTCATGGCCTTAAAAAGGCATCTATTACTCAAATTTGAAAAATTCCACAAATGCACTATCCCCTTTTTCAGTGCAATCAATGTCACTTTAAACCATATTTTAGCAGAGTCTACAGTGCAAATATAAATTCTTTATACTGGCCTTTTGGCAGCACTGAGGATCCAAAACAAGGCAATGCTACTGATGACCTGAGGATCATGGTAAAGGACTTCTGTATTTTACTTTTCTGATTTTTAAAAGCTTATTTGATCAGTAGCATTTTTGTAAGAGCATTATTAGTAAAAAGTACTAAAATACTATGCCTTTTTCTGAATAAATTAAAAAAAAAAAAACCTTTACAAATACCATTCCAGTGTCAATGACTACATATGGCTAAGGTCATTGAGGAGTTTCTGCATTTTCTAGCAAAGGCAGTCTGTACGACGGGGGGTGCGAAAGCTCCCGTTTATAAGTCTTTGGTGGCAGTTTTGGTAGGTGAGGGCTTGAATTCTGCCTTGGTGGAACAGGGGGAGCTTGAGGATGAGCAAGGTTATTGTGACTGGAACTGAGCGCATAGCATCGACGCGGTACTCTTGGAGAGGGTGTGCTAGGAGGAGTATTTGGCGAATTTGGACAGGTACTAACGTCTCTGAACCACTCTGGATCTCTGTGAAGATGTCCTAGCGGTGGTGGCTGAAGATTAAATGGACAGTTTATAAAGTGTTCTGGAGGCCGAAGGGGAACTGGTGGAGGGGTATCAGGAAGAGGATCTCTCGGCGGTGGTGGAGGTGGACTATGCAGAGGCCCGTCAAATGCACCAGTAGGAGCAGGAACTCTGGGTTTTACCTTTGGAGGAGGAGGTTGTCTTGGTGGAATAGCAGGGGGGTCATCATCAGATTTCATATTTCCCTAAAAAAAAAATTTAAATTATACCTCCATTCTCCTAAAAAATCTGTTAAGAAAAAGTTTTAATAGACTGAAAAATTCTTATGTGTTCTGTTAAATCCAGAGGCTCAAAATAGGTTAATCTAATTTAATGATCAGATTTATCAATAAATTACTTACAGTATAACTTGGGGCCCAGTTTAGTAGTTTTATATATGAGATGTTTTAATTGAAATCTTAGAACATAAAGGCTCAGGTTATCTTGTAATTATAATAGGCAAGTGAGTAAAAGGGATGTATAGCTTTGCGAACATTAAAGGACATAATGTCAAGGGGACTTAATGTCTAGCTTCTGCTTTCTGGCCATCTACATCTACTTTCCCAAGGATGGTTCTCAAAGTGTGATCCAGGTACAGCAGCAGCAGTACCAGTAGGGAACTTGTTAAAAAATGCAAATTCTTGTGTCCCACCCTAGACCTGTTGAATCAGAAACTCTGGCAAGCTGGTTTTAACAAGCCTCCCAAGTGATTCTGATGCAGCCTCCAGTTTGAGAAGTACTGGTTTAAAGTTTCAAGAATGCTTGGAATACTAAAGTTTTTTCCATTTCTACCAGAACGAAAACATACTTCTAAGTATCTGTGAATCTGCCCAGCCTCTTTTTAGAAAAAAATATTACAAGAATTAAGCCATTATTTTAAAAGTATTTTTCAAATAAAACCAAGGCATTGAAAAACTTTAGAGGGTAGCCAAATTATAATCGACAGACTTTTTATAAGAACAAGCACTATTCTGAAGATTTCACAACTTTGAGTAAGTTAAGGCAAACCTAAGTCCTGTTGACTACCTTGGAATTTGAAGCATCGTGATCAAACTTTTTTCGAGGAGGAAGAGGAGGAGGAATCAGTGGCTCTTCACTTAGTTTATGTAAACTACCACATGAACTGAAGAAAGACTCTAGGGGTAAAAAAGATTAGTTTAACCACAATTCACAGTGCAACCATAAAACAAGACTTTATTGCTAAACATAATCAACTCTGCTACAGCAAGTGTCAGACTTTACTGTAGCTGACTGTTGGTTTACCTATCCTCTCCACTAAAAACCATAAGCTTTCTGAGGGTAGTGTGTATTTATTTTTGTATCCCTAAGCACTAGTACACTGGTAGTCCTTGGCATATAGTAGGTACTATAGCTACATGAAGACATACAATTAATATGAGATTCGGCTCCCTCAAAAGCCTTTTTAAAATCTAAAACAGACAAAACAAATGTATATGCATATATTGGAGTAACTTCCAGAGAAAAGATCATACATAATCATACATAATTTTGAGGCAGCTAATATTAAATATATTTCTACACAGGTAATAAAACTTCCAAATAGGAGAGCAAAAGATAAAGTGGTATCAAATAACCCTTTCTCTTTGTTAAGTTTCTCACTGATAAAGGATATGTTATATAACTACATGTAATACTTTATTACTCTGATAATAAAGTATTCAGAGGAAAGTTCTATGGCAAATAGACATAGAGTAAGAACTGTTTTCTGGGGCACCAGGATGGCTCAGTCGGTTGTGTCCAACTCTTGATTTTGGCTCAAGTCATGATCTCATGGAATGTGAGACTGAGCCCCTCATCAGGCTCTGCACTGACAGTGCGGAGCCTGCTTGGGATTCTCTCTCCTCCTCTCTCTCTCTCCTCCACTCTCTCTCTCTCAATATAAATAAATAAACATAAAAAAAGAACTATTTTCATTTCATTTATTTCTTTTGTTCTTCATATGATAAAAATACCTATAGTTATGGACCAAGTCTATCTGATCTCTCTATATATCCAGTTGTTATAAAAGCAGTGACCATGTCTCATTTATCATTATACTAAGATTGAGTTCACAGGAACTAGTTTGGAAAATTGAGGAGTTTAATTTTAAATTCATTGTGTGTGAACTGCTTATGCAATATCCAAGTGAAGAAGTCAATCTTGTTACTCCATGTAAAAAACTGCTGTCCTGAAAATGTGACTCTGTAGTCACCTCATGGGTCTTGTTACCTCAGGGTGTCAACAGAGGAAAAGTATGCCTATGGGTCATTGGGAGACGCTGCAGGATGTTAGGCTGAACACTATGTGCTGTGGATATGTTCCTTTTGCCTGCCCAACATCCTTTGCCTTGTCCCTGTCTTTGGACGCAAACTACTCTTGGTGATAGGGAATCTATCTCATGTGGTTTAGTTGGCCAATTTGGCACAGTGCACCCCAACTCCAATCAGAGAAATAACAAGTGTTGGTGACAATGTGGAGGAAAGGGAATCCTTGTGCACTGTTGGTGGGACTGTAAACGAATGCACCCACTGTGGAAACAGTATGGAGGTTCCTCAAAAAATTAAAAACAGAAATACCATATGATCCAGTAATTCCACTACTGAGCATTTACCCCAAGGAAACAAAAACACTAATTCAAAAAGATATATGTACCCCTATGTTCACTGAAGCATTATTTACAGTAACCAAGACACAGAAGCAACTCAAGTATCCATCAATAGATGAATGAATAGGGGTGCCTGAGTGGATCAGTTGGTTGGGCATCCAACTTCGGCTCAGGTCATGATCTCAGAGTTTGTGGGTTCAAACTCCGTGTGAGGCCCTGTGCTGACAGCTCAGAGCCTGGAGCCTGCTTTGGATTCTGTGTCTCCCTCTCTCTGTCCCTCTCCCATTCATGCTCTGTCTCTGTCTCTCTCAAAATTGAACATTTTAAAAAATAGATGAATGGATAAAGAAGATATGGGGTGTACACACATATACAATGGAATATTACTCAGCCACAAAAAAAGAAGGAGCATAGGGAATATAGTCGATAATATAATAACGCTGTATGGTGACACTGGATAACTACACTTATGGTGAACACGGAGCAATACAAAGCACTGTCAAATCACTGTGTTGTATATCTGAAACTGAAATAATATTGCATGTCAACTATACTTCCATAATACTTTTTTTAAAGTATGCTCTAATGACTGAGCCAGCAAGGCACCCCAATAGTAAATATGCTTTTAAAAGGAAAAAGGAAAACAAAGAAGTGGGCACAGAACTCACTGTTTTAACATGATGAGATTTTTATCTACCTTCCTTTCATACATGCAGCCCTGTGCTTCAGGGAAAGCTGACCTCATCCCTTAGGTCCAGAGATGGGGCCTGATTAGATCAAATCAGAGTAATCTAATTCTTTAGCCACAGTGACTGGT